CACAGAAAAGCGCAGGAAACCCCGATGACGAAATTAACGACAGCCCACAGCATATTCCACAGAGAAATGATAATACATTAGAGCGAGAATGGGCAGACTATTTTCTTGAAACTGAAAACAGCCTGTACCATAAGCAACAGCCAAATCCTAATACTAAACACAAGGAATTGACACCCCCTTATTTCCGAAATTATAGACAGCTTATATGAGAAATCACAGAAAAGTGTGAACCCAACAGAAGAATTCCCCCAGAATTCCTACGATCCACCTCAGTTTAATGAACAATACTAAATCGTTCTCAACAACTTTAAGGAACAAGATATAAATTAAATAATCGATTCGGTGTATGATAATTTATTCGGGAAGGCGATGCTTGAGGGAGAGATAAGTTTGCAAAAAAATGCCAAAAGGGCGATGCACACCTTGAACAACCATTTATCCTATTATTTGGGAAAATTAAAAAGTCCATATAGCGTGGATGGAAACATTGAGGTGGGACACGTGCAGAGGAGCAATCATACTATTCACACAACCATGAGGATCATGGAAGAGTATAAAAATAGGCTCTTTTTTTACTACATCATAAGGGATAATTTGCCCAGGTACGATCCTGACTCTTTTATAGATGTGCATAGGAAAGCGTTTACCTTATTCATAAATGAGTTAGTTACTATGGAGGAGCGTCACTTAAATAGATATGAACTGGAGTCAGGAACACTCATGGTGGAAGCCCACGGATGACGGCTGACAAGGACACGTTGAGCGGCAGATACAGAGTTATATGCATATATATGTTGCTAAGAGAAGGAAGGATATATATTCTTGTACCTATATGCTTATATAGACAATTATCTGATAAAATCTTCTTTAATGGGGACAGGAGCCAAGTGCATTATACAGCACCGTTTCAGCAATGATCGGTGCCAAAGTGGCATCGTGACTGTATTTTTTTACCATGAAAAAATATTTCGATGTTGAGAGGCCAATATATGTCCTGTGCGCATTCTGAACACGACAGTGGATTAGATTTATGTGTAAACTCTGTCAATTAATGTTCTCTTAAATCGTTATATGAGACTTATTATGGGATGCCCTAAACTGTGTTAAGGGTTTCCTGCTGTCTCTATAAATATTTATACATACATCATATGCGTAGTTTCATACGGATAGAATTTTACGATTACATCTTTTGAAATTTCTCAGGGGGGATTTTGTATTTTACTTCCTAATTGCGGTAAGGATTTAAAGAATTAATTCCTCTATATGGTGATATGCTTCATTGCGCATATAAAATAGCTGATTCGAATGGAAGTGATATTTTGAGGCTGTGTCATACCAGTGAAGATTCCTTGAAGTTTAAAGTAAAGATAAGGCGAATAAGACACGCGGAATCAATATATACATATAAATTAAGCATACTACCCTAACGTCAGATGTCAATAATGGTATTACGCTTCATCCTTTTTGGTTAAATTTAGCATAATGTTTATATAATATGTTTTCAACTCGTACCAATTGCATTGATTGTTTCATTATTCGTATATAATTTATTATAAATGGCCGCAATGGTAGACTTTTAAATGGAAAGAGGTCCAGAAGGAATTGCTAACAACAACCAAACCAACAATGAAGCAGGGGGACCTACAATTTCGATTATTCTATTCAGAAAAAAAAAAAAGAGAAAGAGACCTTTATGGCTTCACCATTTCTTCGCTGAGATAGAACTATACCATGTTTACATTATGAACAAGAAAAGAAAGGAGAAAACTGCAAACTGTCCATGATAGTAGAATTTGATCGAAACAGTCGTTCGTTCTGTTCTGCAATAGCACCTATCGATAGTACATATATTTAATACGTTCTTTTAAATCTTCCAGATTTAAATTAGAAGTCACGCGGATGCTGTTGATTATAAATCAATGAAAGAAGATGGGTAATATAAAGGGGGAACGTCCTTCTTGTTAGTACTGTACCATACATAATAAGAGGGAAGTACAATTTTATCTTGACTAAGATGCAGAAATAATGGTTGCTCTTGTATACGTAGGAAATGTAATCCTGAGCTGAAGGACCACTGGTGCTATAATGTATGCGCTGCCGCTGTAATCAAGTTATAAATCTTTGAAGTTATCAGCGTTAAATGTACCGGAAAATATACGAGAACTCTGCTTATATGCCCTATTCTGCAAATTTTAGAAAACAGAATTGCCTGTAAAAATATCTTATAAACAGGGGGAAGTTTCATGTAATAGGTAAGACTGCCATTCTGCTTAGCAACAGGAGATTCACGCCGTTTTGTTCCATGAATATTTCGACCCGTCTCCAGTGTCAGTGAAGAAATAAATTTTATACATTTCCTATGACATATTTTTTTTTTTTTTTTTTTTTTTTATTGGTTAAAGAAATGTTCTGGGATGTCTTAATTTATTTAATTAAATGCCTCCGCCTCCTTTAAGATTTCTTAAGTTTCGAAACTTTTTATGAAGTACTCTTTACTACATATCTTAACGTAGTTTAGCATATCTGAATATATCCAACGTATTTTAACATATTTCAAAATATTTCAACGAATTTTATATCATATTTTAACATGGATTAGCATATTTGTATATCTTTCAACGTATTTTAACCTAGTTTATGATAACCTGACGCAACCACCATCAGTTATGAATTTAGGACAAATTACGCGCACGTAATACCAGACTGCTCTGTATAGTTGATAAACCAGAAAGATTGAATTAAACCACTATGGCTTCTGTCAGAAAATCCAATTCCGCTTGTGCTGACCACTGCTCACCAGAGAGTAGCAAACGAAAGGAAGAATCCTCTTGCAGGAGTGAGGCTGAGGAGGGAAGCTCACATGGTCTTAAATCGCGAAAATTCTTTTTTCTTCCGTGTTTCGTTGCACCTGTTGTTGTCGCCTTTTATATTATTCTACCAGTAAGCTATATGGAGTAAACATTTATGTAATAAATAATACGCACTCTGTTGCAATCTCTCATTATGCTCTTACATAGAATTCTCTATACCCTTCTTCCAGATGCTTAAATGCAGAAAGCGGTGCATACATATAAACTCTAAATATTATACATATGCGTAATGTATACAACACCTGTCTTTGTAAACGTTCTTTAAAAATTCCTCCCAGAAGCTAACTCCGTTGGACAGGAACGTGATGCCGCAATTAGAAGGAAGCAATTTAGAAAAGTTAAATAAAGATGGATGTTTCAGAAGGAACGGCATAGATAGATATGTAGATGCGTCCGATTCAGAATCCGATGATAATATGCTATCCGCGCCTGATGAGATGGATTTAGGTGAAAATGAGGAGGAGGACGCTTTAGATTCAGATCGAATTGTTGAACAAAAATATGAAGAGAAGAGTGACTTATGTAATATTGACTCGCCTAGATTGGACCAAGCTCAAGTTATAATTACTAGCGATGTGACAGAAGCAAAAGTAGAACAATCGATGAATAATATGGAACAGGTGACCTCAAGGAATGAGATTATCAAAATGTGGAAGCACGCATATGATCTTGAAAGACGAGCCGTTTGCAAAATGATAAGTGCTTTATTCAAATATTACGAGGAGTTGAAAGAAAGATATCGAGTAAAAGAAAAACATCATCTCACTCATTGGAATAGGGTAATGTCCAGATGTTTTGATGTACTAACAAAGAAGGAAGAACACTACAATGAACTTTTCAACAACTTCATCATGAAAGATGACTTGACCAAACAGGAATGTGTGAATTTCTTGAACAGTTGCAGGGAAAAGGTTGCTGAATTGAGAGAATCTTTAGAGACCTTTGCGAAGAAAGAATTCGATGGAAGAATTATTCCAAAAAGGGGCAAGTAAAAATGGGATTTTTCAAGTGGAAGAACTTACACAAAAGAGTGAAAGAACGAATGATTCTCCACATATTTATGCCAGTGCCAGAAACTATCGCGCAGGTTAATAATGTACCGAAAGAAAAGGGAAGAACGTATGCTCCGCTTCGATTCTATAATCAAACAAATTGAGTTGGAGGAACCGAGATCTCATAATCATACGGCCCAACCCATCCCAAATGAACAGCAGAAAAAAGAATTATAGGATTTCGGAGTTTTCCCTAATATAGCATCTGTGACATACATATCGCGTCTATAGATATCCAGCTAAAAGGGAATAATATCTATGCGAAATATGGAAGCTACTTAGATTAGTAGTTTATCTATAGATGAGGTACATTATCTTGAATTTCTCTTTGTAAGGAATGACAATCTTCTCTTTATATGTGATTTCTCTTCTGAGTTAACTCAATTTTTTTAGTTTGTTTTTTTGAAACTTTTGTTTAATAGTAAACATTTCACAATTAGAAATTAACTCCCACTTTGCTTGGTATTAACATGCCTTTTAGTCGACAGAAATAGTGTATCCGTCACTGTAGTTTTCTACGTAGTTTTCAGCCTGAGTTACCTAGAACATTAAGGAATGAAGTAATACATGTATTTCTTTATAATATAACAGTTTCAGCTGCTAAATGAGACAAGATATACATTTAAGAAAAAAATTCGCTATGGGCAGCAGACCGTTTTGGAAGGAGTTAGAATTGTTATTTGGGAATTTTTTTCGAATACAAAACGGAAGTCTGAATGAAGAGTCGCAGGGTAGACCTTAATCTGACCTGCGTTAATTGGGGAATATACATGGAATAAAGGAGATGTCTAAGGAGGGTGTACATGTTGAAGAATGATTTAGATGCCACATAAGCCACCGTTACATAATGTCTGTCGTTATAAAGTTGTAAAACTATGGTTATTAATGTTACAACAGCGAAGGCGTAATTTGAACACTTGAGAAATGATAAGATATAGCCGAGGAGGAAAGGAGAAGCTTGAAATAGGATGATGTTATTCCCTAGGAAGAGGACAAATTGGTTAATACCATATCAGGGGGTTAAAATAAATCAACGTAAATATTAAGATAATACATTGAAGAACCCCCTGCTAGCATGGGCTACCAAAACACAGTTACGATATTCATGTAATGGATAGCGCGTGAAATTATTTAAAAGGAGGGGCCCTAAAAATGATAGAAAATATTCTGCATATGTATGCGCCTTCTTTAATTTAAATGGGGCGTTATTACTGGAATATTCTTTCTATTCAAGAGATAAGAATTAATTCCAAATTCTGTTCACATAATTACAAACTTTCTTATAAATTTCCCAGAATGGAATAAATTATGGGAACATGTTTATGTCAGGAAGTGTCAATTGTTCTGAAAGTCGAAGCACTTTTTGGAGTCGACTGTGAAATTATAATATGCACCGAGTAGTTAAATATATAACAAGGAGAAAGAAAGAAAAAAAGAAAGAATAAACGGGGCACCATGAAATGGAATAGTATATATACCTAGAATCAGCTGAGGAATCTTTCCGTGGCAGAATATACCAAATTTTGGTGATAAAGAATGAGAAAATCCTGTTTATCTGTGTAGTATACTATATGCCACTGCGCGACGAATATATGAAAGCCGAGAATATGCAAGAGCGAATTCAAAATATAACAGCTTCAGGATCCGAAGAAAACCAAGGCGACACATCACTAAAGAAGATAACCATTTAAAGGATTATAGGAAGAAGGTGAAAACTTACATTTTCACCTACATAAGAATACTCCATTAGATATCACACAAATCATAAGAAAAATCAGAAAACGGGGTCACCCTGTGATTTGACACATTTCGATATAATGCAGGGGTTACCATCATATATATTCTAGTAAGATTAAGCAAGGACGTCGACAAAAACGGTGGTATCTTACCTGATGGGTTATATGATGATCACTATTTAGGCAGAGGGAGGCCTGCTCCCGCGATACCACATTTCTGAATGTTCCTCTTCTGTGTCAAATTTGATGAATCCCGTTTCGCAAAGATATAACAGAAAAGTTCCTCCTTTTTCCATCCTACTAGGAAGGCCCTCAATTCTTTCAGTAGCACATACACTTATTGTTCTCTCATTGGAAGAATAAATATGGAAAAAAAATGGCATAACTTCTATTTACGTTGATAAATGAATCATAGGCGGTTTTGTAATTACAACTTTACGGCAGACTGATCTGATATATAAGTAGTGGACATCCTGGTCTTCGAGAATGCTGTGGTACTTATATCTGCTTGTTCTTTTTTCTCTTCTACTGTTGACTTATGATTTTCTCTCTAAACATATTTTATCACTGTGTGATTTCTATTGCGGTGTCTTCAGTGGGTTGTGCCTTGTTTCGTGCCGAAGCGTCCGGATGGAGTTAATCATTTTCTATAAATTCCACGTTTCCGTGTGTCCGATAGGAGAGTGTCGCACAATTTAGTAGGTGCAGGGGAATAAAGAATGCGATGTGCCATGTTTATCAGTAAATGAAACAAATAGACAGGGATCTTTTTCCACCTGTTGCGTATGTTTCCAGGCTGTTATGTATAACGAGTATTTAAGAGAACAAATAGGAGGACTACTCTGAGGAATCCTCCAGGGGGATTATTACAAATAGCGGATCTCGCATTCCGCATTCGAACATTCCTTCCTCTCTATATGTTACGGAAAATTTATCCACCCCGACATTCAAGAGGAAGGGGGCATAGAGACGTAGATGAAATATTTCGCGGCATCCAGATATGTTCTTTAGAGGAGGAGTCGCAATTGGTGAGTTGCCTTTGACATTTGTTTCGCATTCCAATTGTGACCAGCAGTAGGGTTAATTATCTTCCTAATTTGTTAACTATTTCACTTACTTGTTGTCCGTGTGTCTGGAAGTATGTGTCCCTTTCCTTTTCCGGGTAGCAGTCCCTCGCCTGTTTCTGTACTCTGTATTTATCAGAGTTTTCTTAGGTCATCTCACTTTATGGCATCCGTATGAACAGCATTCCAATGTAACATATAAGTATGAGTGTTATATTTCGCCTCTGAATCTGCTTTCCTCCGGCTACGTTCTAATCATGATGGTGAGCGCTCTTGTGTTATTGTTCGTTCGTCTCCTCTTATAGGAGGCTTGTAACTCTTTGTGGTCTATACTCAATGTGTTTTTTTCTGGACATCCCCAGAAAAATTCTGTGTGTATCTGCTATGTTTGGGGACGTTTCCATACTCTTCTCCCTTCAAGAAGTTTCCTATGTGGCTATCCAGGTACAATTTCACGTCTTGTGAATTCTATTGCTTTTTGCATTCCTCCATAAGCATCATGAGGGGCGATATGGACATTTCCATCTCTACCTCTTCATCTGTAATTACACCCAATTCGTGGTTATGCACCTCCTGTCTCTCTTTATGGCAATTTGTTCCTGACGTGTTATTCGTCGTCTCATGTATTACATACTCGGTTGTGTCTTTTCGGTAGAGCCTGATAACTTTATCAGACAAACTATCTGGAATGTACTGTCTCATACGTATCTGTTCTCTTTAAACCTAATTGCTACATACACTTCCTTGTGTTTGTATGAAAAGAGTTTGTGGCTCCTCGTTAAATTGATTGTTTTCGGACATTACAATTTCCTGAACGCATTGTTCTTCCGTTCTGCGTCTTTGGTGTAATCTGTGGAATTAATTGTTTTCTTTCAACATATCAAAAGTATACGAGTATTTATGTTCCAAACTATTCCACTGATGTTTTTGTTTGTACACATCACCATAGTTGTGTGCATGTACCCCCATTAACTTGCTCCGTCAGGTAATTCCACCTATCACACCTTTATTTATCATAAATGTGTGCACCACTACTTGGAGGAAATGCTCCTTGGTCAGTTTTCATTGTTGTTTTTTGATTTAACTAAAAGTTCCGTAGGTATATCTAGAATCTTCTACGGAACGTTTGTTTCTCATTTTGCATGTATACACTCTTTGGGATGTCTTAATTACATCTTAACTATTCATATTCACGGTCGCGCTGTGGTACGTGATCACTATCATATATCCTTTTTCTTCTTTTGCAATCCTGGCCACACATTGCTATCTCTCTTTGTACCCTTCTTCCAGCTCTGCGCTTTCTGTGGTTCAGAGGAAACTGCCCTTCTAAGGGCCTGTATTGCTGTAGGGGAAAAAGTTGGCACGAGGAGTTGGTTCCGCTTTCCTGGCGGCTTCTAAATAGTGACCACAGTGCACTAAATGCTACTTTTCCAGTGCCTATATATATACATATATCTATACATCCATAAGAAGGATAACATCTATAATGAGACCCCGGACTGTTAAGATAATAGGTAACACCTGAATAGAGGCAATAGCATCATTATGTAGTGTTGAGGAGGCTACACCGCGTGTGGGGTGTGCTTAGAATTGCCAATTCGGTGTCCCCAAAGTAGTAAATATAATGACGGGGGAGAGCATCCATAGCACTCAAGGTCATTATGTACTCCCAACAGCGCAGAATTTCTGTCTGGTGGGTTGTGACAGATTTGCATAAACTGATAGGTAAGGCACGGAGGCTTGTGGATAAAATAGATTGAATCTACTAGGAAAGGGAAGAGGGGGGCGATCCCCGTTGGGTAATATCCACGGCTGGGGGATCCGATGCAGGAGGCCTCCAATCTGCACGTACAATATCAGGAAATTGAATAGTACGGACGGTAACTATAACTTCAGGATCTGTACTTATTTTACATTTATATTTTCCGTGTGTATACCCGGTGTCATTGCTTTCAACCTTTCAACACTGAGACTGTAGTAGAAGTTGATATTGATGCATTCCTACCTACTTCGAAACTTGATTCCTGACGGAGCTACCACGTTTCAGATGTGCACTTAAATATTTCAGAATCCTCACCAGTGCTCTGACAATTTTTCCATGGGTGACGTGCTCTCATTTGGGGTGGCAAGATTTCACGGAAGTTTTGAATAATAACCTAGGCTTTGAAAGATATTGTCAGACGGAGTAACTGCTGTAAAGTTCCGTCCGGATGAAGATTTATCAATAGTTGCTGTTCGTATAAGATTTTTATTCGGTATAAGGGTTTTTAGCGTATGCAGGCACTGTGTTCCTTTGTGCCAACGTAATGAAAGTCGCAAGAAGAATCCTTTTCATTCAGGAGTCAAGTACGAAGAACGTGTGCACATGCCAGTTCGCACAGTATGCAGAGCAGTTCTACGGTTCTCATTAGACCTTTCCTTATTGTTTCGTATAAATAGTCAGGATTCAAAAAAAAACCAGAACATGTAGTAATGGTGAAATAAGTGGTCAAACAACTCTACATATTTACATAACAAATGTCTCTTGGGTTTTCTTGGGGGGTGAAAGTTGTGATAAAACATTTATGAAGTAGTGTGTTAAATCACATAGAATATTGTCTGAATGAACACGTTTGATGTGTTTGTTATTATCGTTGTACACTCCCTTACTATTATTCAGGTGGGTATGAAGTCTAGTTTTATATAGCTGACATGAAGTTCCCCGTGTCCAATGCTACGTCCATAATATCGGTTAAAGGTCAATATTCTGAACTAGTAATTTTCCCTATATTACATTGTCTATTGTATTGACCTCTTCGTTTTACATCACATTGCCATCCCTGATATGTTTCGGGATGATGTGTGCATGTTAAGGAATATCATGTAGTAAATACATATTGTCTTATGAAAGAAAAAATTCAGACATTGCGGAGATGTCCTGAAGAAATAGTTGCAATAGTGCTGTGGCTATGTATATTATATGACCTAGGCCAGAGAATACAGTTTGGGAAAAGTCTGCACTTTAGTTCGCTACGTTTTCAGATTTGGAAAAGAGCCTGTTTTTTCAATAGAATAATAAAAATCGAATTAGGAACCTAGGTATTGTTTATAAATCCGTGTAATATTAATAAAGTGTGGGGAACAAGCCGCCATGCCGATAAAATTCAATCCCTTCATCATGAATTGGAACGTAGCCTGTTCGTTACTTATATATATGGGAGTACAATGAAATTGAGAAGCATCTGCTAAGAAGAAGAATAGCAGAAAGAATTGTATTATTATACAGTACGTACCATGTCATGATACGCCATGTGGTAAAACTCTGAGGTTTCACACATAACATATGGATTTATCGAAAAATGTAACCTATAATCTTAATTTGCACATAGGCGCAGAATGAGATATAGATACCGCATAGGGGACGGCTTCATAGCCCTGAGTTAACCATCTTTTTTTGGATAAATCAGGATATCTATAAATTCCCTGTCCCTTCCTGTTTCTGGGGTTCAGTTCTTCCTAATTAGTTAGTTTCCGTTGATTGTTGATCGTGAATTAATTGAAGGATTTCTAAGAACTATTTTTGCGCGCTATAGCAGTAAGAACACGTGCAATTATGCCTTATTAATAATGCAAAACGAAAGACGTCCATGTGCGAAGAAAATGAAATAATTGCAACAAATTAACTATAGCATATAATATGTCGTGTCATTGTACTGTATAAGGCGCATATATTATGGGATTTAATTTCGTTTGAAAAAGTGCCCCCTCATTGGAAGAATATGGGTGCTTCGTTCTTTATGCACCGATCCTTGGCACTGCTGAGATATTATGAGGTAAGAGACAGTACCATCTTAGCACGGTGTTTTGAACTATGTGAATCACAGAAAATATACCCTTTTAGTCTATATGATATTACATGTAAGACCACAATTAGAAATAATATGCAAGATAAATTCATTTTTATAAATAATTTTTGGGGAATTATTTTATGGAGCTCAAGAAAAAGTGACTGGGTAATTTTTTTATTTCGTACAACATAACAACGCGGTGGTAAAAGAATTGGCAGAAGCAAGGAAATGTACCAACACGTAATGTTGCGGGAAAAAATGTTTCATCCAATTCAATTTTTTTAGAGATTTTCACAGAGCATCACGTAATGGAAAATGCAAGAAAGAAGAGAGAACAGAAACGCTTTAGAGTGTGCCATATTCTGCTCACGATGATGTATATTTCACGGTGACTCTATATAGACCTGATACTGGAGTTCATCACAAAAAGGAGATCACAAAACAAAAATGCGTGCAAATATAGTCTTTACGCAATACTGAGTAATATGCAAGAGTCCACCACTATGGTGTCCGCATCTTGTGAGGGAGTCATCTCTTAATATTCTTCATTAGTTCATTACCTAAATGAATCTATTTTTGTGGAAATTTTGAAGGACGAACAGAGGAATGATGAGCTATATTATAGAATTCCCACCCTGCAGGGGCGGCGGTAACATTATGTGGTTTATGGTGTAAATAGTCTCATCTAACCTGTATTATATTCGAATCTTGAGCAAACATTTTATATTCTTTTGATGCGCGACGCAATTAGTTGGATGGTTCCTGGTCCCTAGTACAGCAATTGTGGTATTATATAAGGTGTAAGATGTAGCATCATAAACAACCTATGTCTACGAAGAATCCAATTTTAGCACAGTGGATGTGGATAGAATATGTAGCCGCCCCAATTTTGGACAGCATAGAGGCTTCCAATTAGGTGGGGATAATGTAAAAGGAATTATGGTTGGAGACGGTTCTGTTTCATAATATACAGGAGGTGAACATTTTTCCTTATGATGGCATCTATGTATGGCCGCTGATTCGTACAAATACCAGGCAGCATTTTTTTCGTTTTGTTTTGTTCTTGTTTCTTCTCCGCTAGACTGACATGGGTTTTGGACGTAGTCTACAAAAAGGGACTGCAGGGGCAAATATTAACACGTGTAAATGTGTTTATACAGGGCGGCTGTCAATATGGTTATGTGCATTCTGAACCTTGAGGTAGATACTGACAAAAACACCATTACGAATTTCCTAAGGAAAACATGCAGGTTGCTGTTAACATCACATAATTCTATCACCAGGCACGCATGACATGGAAAATATGTCTTAGACAGTTGGACAATACGAATGCGTTCAGATAATAACGGGAATTGCATAGCCTTATTCACAAATGATACATGGATCCGCTGCTGATACGTTAAATATTATTGTCTTTACATAACATTCCGCGAACAGTACTCCGTGACTCATGAGGGAGTACATTGATTTGGTTGACTGATATGGACGAAGTCAATTTTAATATTAAAACGGTCCTAGCGTCCACATATTTATTTATTTTAATAAAGCGTGTCTTTTCCGAAATACACATCTCAAATATGCGTAGAGGCATTGATATAACATGTGTCCCCTCATGCTGTACAGAAGTAATGGGTATTGATAATACTTGTTGTGTGGGGATCACGTTAATAATAAATCGTTTCCTTCTTATAAACACGCATTGGATAGCGTCTTATAGGAATGAGAGAAGTTTTAATTATCTATAGGAATCTGAAGCAGGCAAGTTCTAATATGGCATGCATGGTTTATACGTCTATCTAACTTGAAGACAGTGACACATATTTAAATAAATAGCAGAGATGAGAACTTCATATAATCCATTATGGATAGGACTACACTCAACAGAATAAAAAAAACAAGACAGTAGGGGAAAATATGAAGACATCGATCCCATACAGGCTCCATCATTAGTGTAAAATTAAATACTTAAAATATGTTTCCTCTTTGTACTCATGATAGACATCGTTTCTGTCTGTTGGCCTCTATCTATGGTCACATTTTATCCTTGGAAAAGGGAAAAAACACCTAAAAGGAATTGCAGGAGCTGTGGTGGGTCACATACAAGGAAGAATTCTGTGGCATATGTCTCTTAAGAACGCGTTTCGCTCGGAACGTCCATGTGTGCTCTATTGTACAAGAAAGGAGCATTTTCTTATAAGATCTTATGCTTATTGAAAAGCATTAATTTTTTCGCGATCACTTCCCTCTATAGCACAACCCTTATGAAAAACCTGAAAAATTAGTAAAAGTGGAGGCGCATATTTATATGACTACACACTTGAGTAATTTTCCCTTGACCCTTACAATGGCACAGATACCTATATCCACGTAGGTATACATATATATATGTGTGTCTGGTAATATTATGTTGATAAGTGGCATAACGCTAATATATTGCTTCTAAGCAGTTATGATACCACACGCGCCACACGTCGGCGTACGAGAATGGGTATTGTAGATTGTGATAACTCACATATTAGAATATAATGCTCATCTTGTACACTTGGTCAATTGTACGGAAGAGTCCTTTCCAGAAGTGTTTGCCTAATTCTTGTTGCTTGTTTTCTTCTTCTGTTTCCTGATAGATTCTACAAAACTTAACTCGTCGTCTATTTATGTGTACTGATTGGCGCGTGAAACTATACGGATGGACTGGAAGGCGACCTAAGAGGCAATGGTTTCTCAGGATACAGAATTGGCTACTATGAGACAAAAGCTGTGGAAAAAATTTCTGCTAAGTATTCAATTAATAATTAACTGAAGAACCTCATATTTATTCCTTTTGATAACATCACGCCCATTGAGGTGAATCTGGTATTCTTTACAGAATATCCCCTTCTGGATATTAAGGTCAAAGATTAAGTGAGCAGATCATGATGGTTTTAATGGAACTGTTAAATCTGTCACTACATCAGTTTAATATAATTTAAGGAAGAGATCCATTTCTAATCAAAGGATTGACGAAGTGGGAATAAGTATGCGGGTGAATAGTAGAAGTTAAGAATTCTTCGCCGTAAAATGAAATGTGGGGAGGACAAAATATTTCAATAACTATATTTAAGAGTTCCTCTTGTCTGGTTACACGAGCGGTTCACTACAGGGAATACGCTAACGCGCTTTGATTAATTCCGTCAGAAAGATTACCTATTATAAGCAAAATTTAACCAGGAAGGAAACAGAAAAATACCAGTATTACGTCCGTATGTGAACAAGCAGCGGATACAGCGCAATCGAAGTATGTTAATCAGAACCCAAACAGAATCAATAGGCAATGACGAAAATAATTCTGCACCAATCTATTATGATTACCCCCACATATATATAGTACAAGAGGGGACAGAAATAGTGAAGGAATTGTGGGGGTGGTTATAATATATTACAACAAACACAACATAAAGATTAAGAGAAAATTCAAGTATTGAGTTATAAGAGGAAACTAGGAATAACAGATATGTGTGAGTGTAACCAAGTTTTCCATTCTGCATATCATGAATTATAGTAAACTAAGAAAGGGACCTACGACATTCCTCATTTGGGGGTGTTAAGGGAATCTACATTATGGGTATGAACTAGGGATTCATCAATTCCGAGACGCATAGGGAGGATATTAGCCGCAGAAATACAGGTAATTTACATCCATTTATACATTGCTATGATTTATTGATAACAGCCTATGTTCTGTTGATCTCTTTACACCTTACCATGGGACATATATCCATGGATATATATATATGTATATTCCTTCCCTTTTATATTTGGGAATAGTTCATGAGTCATAGAAATAAGAAGTGTTAACCAGGTGGAGTATGATCCCCCTCTGGTGTCATACAGGAGGATACGAGAAGATGGAACCAAAGAAGGACAGAATAGTACCAGTGCTACACATTTCTACGCGGAAAGAGGATATAGTTACCAGTATATGCAGATTCAGATTAGAAGATTGTTCCTTTGGCATAAAAATGTGCCAGCTAAAATTACATGACTGTTCATGACGTGTCTCATCTATGCATATATAAAGGGAGTAATGGATTGTTGAATTTAAACTGGTATCATATGAGTTATAATTTCATATTGGACTTTAATTGTATATTGCATACCATTGAAAGGGCTACTATAGCGTTTAAATAAGTTCATGTCTTTCTGTTCAAACTCCTATGAGTGCAATGGAATACAGATATGCACATTCGATGAGTTCCGCCTAAACTGGTCAGCCGCTGTGCTTATATGGTTTCCTTTATAGTTACGTTACTTTTGTGAATGCGTCCTTATGCCCCATCCTCTTCGTGAGTGGGTTCTCTGATGTTTTGATATTTTCCCCAGTATCCCCCCGCATGTTGCACTCTTCCTCTGTATGTTTTTTTGCCGTTTCTACATCTTTATAAGTATGTTAATTCATATCCCAGCATCCTTCCATATCAGTTCCCATGCCGCATAGTGCCTGTGGATGCGCCTTCGTGTTGTATCACCCCCATGAGTCTGTTTTATCATGTTTTTGCATTTTTATGAGAGTATCCTTTCATGGCGCCTCTTTCTTATATGGGCGTTTCCATGTGGCCTAATTTTTCGAACGTGCTTTCTTGTGGCGTAATTTTGTGAACGTTGTCTCACGTCGAGTAATCTTGCGAATGTTTCACGTGGGGGAATTTTGCGAATGTTTCACGTGGGGTAATTCTGCGAATGTTTCACGTGGGGGAATTTTGCGAATGTTTCACGTGGGGTAATTTTGCGAATGTCGTTTCACGTGGGGTAATTTTGTGAACGTTGTTTCACGTGGGGTAATTTTGCGAATGCTTCACGTGGGGTAATTTTTTGAAGGTTTTTCTATGTGGCCTAATTTTCGCGGACGCCCTTTTATGTGGCGTAATTTTTCAGGCACGCCCTTTCATGTGGGCTAAGTTTTCGCGCACGCTCTTCGTTGTTGGCTACCCTTTCCCGGGGGTGGCTTCATGTCGCTTAACCTTGTCAAAGCTGTTTCCTGTTGATTAAGTTCTGGGGGAGTCCTCCCATGTGTTATATCCGTTGCACGCCATCTGTCTCGTTTGGCTCCATTATATATATTTCTCTATTTAATTCCTTCTTGAGGATACACCTCTTTGGGCCATTCCTCTGACGAAATTCACTTGGAGGGTTCCTTTATGATGACATCTTTTGTTGCATCCTTATGAAGATACCACTCCTCCATGCACCCTTATAAAGATGACTTTATCTTTTGCCCCCTTCTGACGATTTCTTCCGCGTGGTGTTTTCATGATGATGCCTTTTTCCTCCCACAGTTTTCTGATGCTTCGCCTTTGAATCATTGCCCTTTCTTTTGTTTTCCTCATGGTGATGTTTACTGTTTTGCTGCGACAGTTTGATGCCTTTTCTCTGTTTGGCATTCCTTTAAGGATTCCTATATTTCGCATGTCACTATAATAATGCTTCCTTGTTTTTCATTTCTACATAGCTACATGCTCCCTGTTCCGCTAATATAAAGATGTTTCTGTGTGTGGTATCTTGTTCAGGATGATATTCCCTGTTCCATTTTTATCAATTCTCTTTTTTTTAGGAGCGCGCTCGTGAGGTATCTTTCCGTGGGGCATCCTTCTTCCCAAAATTCATTCTACCGCGTTGTACTTTAATATATTCTTTCGCTCATGATTCTTATAGAGATGGCCTCTTCTGCTTTGCCACTATGAAGATTCTTGTTTTGGTTTCATTTCTTTCGTGACGATAGTTTTATTCTCGGGTGGCCCTATGAGGTTTCTCCTCTCACGTCATTATGAGAACCCTTGGCTGTGTGGTATTTTTCTTATGAGAATTCTTCTTACTGCGCTATATTTCTGATATTTTTTGCTTTGGCTCTTTTATAAAGATGCCTCCTCCTTCTATCATGTTACCGGGAAGATATTCTTCCGCGAGGTTCTTTTTTTTATGAAGATATTTTTTTCCGCGGCACTCCTTATGATGCTATTTTCCGGCGGCGGCCTGAATATATTGTTTTGTGTCATTTTCTTTATATGGCTGCTTCTTGCTGCCGCCGCCTTGTGAAGATGTTCTCTAGTGTGTGTAATTTTTTCCACAATGATGTACATTTTTTCGCGGCGCTGTGGAGATGTCCTTTCCTGTTTGATTTTTTCTATGAAGATGTCTCTTTTCGGCGGCATGGTCAGGATGCTGTCCCATGTTTTCCTTTTTTATGAAAATGCTTTCTTCTCTCCTGGTGTCTTCAGGATGTTTTTCTCTGGCGTTCTTTTTAAGATGTTCTTCTGCTTCCATTATTGTGAAAATGTTTCCTGAGGTCACATCATTATGAAGGTGCCATTCTGGGTGCATCATCGCTGATATGTTATACTGTATGTCATGCTTCTTTATTAAAATTTCCTCTTCCTTAATATTCTGATGGACCTATTTTTTTCTCTCTCTATGTTGAATAATTATGAAAATATTCATCTTTCTTGTCTATTATGAGAATTCCCACCTATTTGAAGTGTAAATAGCATGACCATACTGATGTGGTAGCATTACCAGACAGGAATAATATACCGATGTGTAAAAAGGGACCTTTATCCCTGTTGTATTATTCTTTTCGAAGTGATGATCTTCAATGAGTACTATTAAGTGAATAACAGTGTCACACGGATAACACTGTCAATTGAAGTGCAGAGTTGCGTAAAGGGTAAGGATCGTCTGGAGTGTTATTGTAGGGAGGCTACTGACGTGTGCCTAGTACTCATATGTTCAAAGTACTGACATGTTTATCGTCTTGTTACTTGAAGAGCACAGGCCCGCCTGGGGTACTCTTCTTCGCAGAATAGTCAGGTGCATTTCTAATTATGATGCATTGCCGGGATTTACGTATAATACTGTTATAGGAAGGGTATTGATGTGCATGTAGTATTTTATGCGAAGGATTCAGAATTTACGCCTCCATTATATGAGAAACATTATTCTATGAAGTACATGGATATTCCACGAAATATATTGCGTGAAAATTATTTGTGTCCAGATGCTTGATGATTAAGAGTGCAGATGTTCCCATACTACCGTTATATGAAAGTACTAAGGGTTGAGCTATATGGATGAGCTGGAGTGCTATTATACTAAGAGAACCATGACGTGTGAAGTCCTGTAGACATATGAGTACGATTACCCTCGGAGCACTATTATTTGGACAGTACGAGTGTGCGGGGTGTATTGTTATATTAACAGTACTTTTTTGAGAATAATACTTTTATTTGAAGAGAACGACTGTTGTGTATGAAGTAGTGTACCATGATGAGTATTAATATCCCTGGAGTAACATTATGTGAAATGTTCTGATATAAGGTTAACGGCTCCATTATATGAAGCAGAGGATTGTGCAAAGGGTGTTAATCTCCTGGAGTACTATTCTTTGAAGAATATTGCTACGCCAAGAGTACTATGATGTTAAAAGTACTTTTGTTTGTACAGTATTGACATTCCAGGTGTGCTATTATTAGTGAGACACTATTCTGTGAAGTGCATGAATATTCCAGGGAAAATACTGCCTGAAAAGTACTTATGTGTATGCATTCTCAATGAGGAAAATTGCGGAATTCCTAATAGTACTGTTATATGAATGTACTAAGATCTGAAATATACTGATATCTGCGGAGTCCTATTCTCTGAATACCACAGTAGCATAAGAATAATGGATCATCTGGAGCTATATTCTGTGAGCCATCTGACGTGTGCGTAGTATTCTTATTTGCAAAGCAAAGTTGTGCAATGATGATGCCTGTCTCGGAAGCAAGATTATTTGAAGGGTTTCGATATACGCAGAGTGCTTTTATATAGGGGGCACTATTTTATTAACCGTAAGAATATATCCGCAGTAGTATGTAGTGAGCTAAAGGTATGTGCCCCGAATATTACTATGGGGTGGATGAAACATTGGACCTTTCGTTATTTAAATAAAACCATTGTTCCTACTGCACTGATGTCTTCTCATTTGCGTTACCCTATTTTTGAATGGGTTAAAATCCCGCCTGTAATGTAAGGACATAAGAGTTTTACGAAGTCCTTTGATGTCTCTGGAGTAACATTTTTTGAGAAAATGCGGTATCCTAAAAGTAGTATTATATGAAGAGTACTGTTCTCCCTGGAATCTCATCGGTTTCGATAACATTAATGTTACGAAGATATCTTTGACAAGAGGATATGAATATCCATAACATACAAACCACTTATGATTTTACGAAGAAGAAAAGAGAAAAATGAAGTAGAAGGAATGCCAAAAATGAAGTCTATACATTGAAGGTACTGCGACATTGAACACAGTTCTCCATTTCATAGGAAAAATAAATATATAGGGTAAAACCATATAACTAACATAAGAGTATCAACAGACATAAACAGGAAGCTGGAAGGAAACATGCGAAGGGAAAATAGCACCATATAACCAAAAAGGGGCAAACGTAACTAAACAAATAAGAGTACCTAAAGCAATGTTAACACAGAACAAATGAACCCGCAGGGAAGCAAGGTGAACACGACACAGGACACTTACAGTAACATATGAGGTGGGATGTTGACAGGGCCCAATACTACATCAAATAAGTGAGGAGTTGATTGCCAAGTTTCATGTCTCAAAATACACGCGATTATTCACAGTTAGTGAGGAAGATATATAAGTATGTAATTTCTTACATATATTAATTGGTGTTCTAAATTTTTTCCTGTTTGTATTGCGCGTTATGGCTTGAGTTAAAAACTCTACAATTCTATTTGTTTCCCCAGGATCTAATATCATATGATACCCTTTGTGATTTTATGCGTGAAGATATATAATTGTTTAAAATAGATTTATTTCTTCTTTGAAGTTTTAGAAGCTTCCTTAAAACGTATTTTGTTTTTGTAAAGATATAACACACTTTCTGATGTAAATCCTGGAGGAGTTACGACATTCGGTGTCTCCACGCTTAGTGTAGAGGTGTCCCTTTGTGTCGTATCCCACATCGTGATCATAAGATATCTATGTTGACTGCATGGGTTACTACTGGTCAAAGGTCTGACATGAAAGTTTTTTTGTTACCTGTATATTCTCTGTTGCCCTGATATTGAATATGAGGATTCCAATTCTTTTGATCCCATTACTGACATGACTTTAATTTTACTTTTTTCTATTCCTTTGCAAATTATGAGCAAAATGGCTATGAGAATAATTTTTTAATTTTGAGAAGTCCTCCACCTTTTTATATATAGAACTATTCTGGCAGTAGGGAGGCTCCTTAGAAATGAATCCATCAGATCATCCGCGCTTTTACTCATGTAATGTGTGGCTAAGTTCTGGCAGAGTGTTATATATAATTCCACGATTCATGATTTACCAATCGCGCATAACCCATTTTGTTAAAGAAAAATGCCAACCGGCGACAAAATTATATATAATTTTAACAGGGACGGATTTGACCCAGAGTGAAAAAAGAACAAATTAGAAAATATTCCTACCTAAAATGAATCTTAAAGAAAAAGGTAAAGAGAGAGGAGAAAGGGATTGTACATAAACATATCAACATGCAAATCCTACACAGGAACCTTGAACGCACCGACAGATAGGTGCAGAAGAAGAATAATGCATTTGCAGGAGTCACGCTACATTTAGGACAGGTGCGGGAATTCTAATGTGACCTGATTCTATGTTCTTTTAAAGAATTATTGGCAAAGGAAATTCGCATTTGAATGAATTTATTCGCCAATGGCAACTATATTACTTTAAATTGAAAGGTTTCATTAAGCAAAACTCAGCCTCCACTGCAATATATCTGCAAATACGCTCTCTTCCCCATAATTCCAAATTTATTCTTCAGATCCGGCAACGTAGAAATGTTTTTAAAGTATAAAATATGCAATTAGTCATATCCTGGTGAACTGCAAAATTTAAGGATGAAAAAGCAGTTGACTCGGCTTCCATATTTGTGCGGATTGTTCACAGCTGTACTAACGATGTCCTATCATAATCTTCCTGGGTTTTATCCTGTGTTGTACTTGACAGTACATGTAAAGTATATTCTAAGCTCCCACACCCTTGATATCCTGCGTTATGGTGTGCTCATCTTAGGTGCCATACTATATATATCTATGACACCGCAGGAAGGAGAATATTTAGTTGTCGGCGTAACAGGGTGCAATCTCCCCAGTTTATCCATTCTTCGAAATTTCGGTCGGCGCCGGGCGTGCGCATAGGTCGTCATTATTATAAGATTTATGCGTTCAAAAATTGACCCGTCCAGGCTGTAATTAACATAATGAGAGTATTTTTCTCTATTCAAAATTTATAATCCTAAAGAATATATAATATTTTTAATACGTAACGTATTTATGGCTTAAGCTGAAACAAAAGTGTGAAGATGTTATTGAGGCATATAAGTCTCTTACTTATTTTCTTCAAATGATAGGGAATGATTTTTCTCCTCTTTCATCTTTGTCCTACCTCTGTTTCTGTAATTTTAAGTTTTGACAGTCTCCTAATAAATATATTTGTCACAGCGTTTTCCTTTTTTTACAGTTCATTGTGCAACAAGCACTCATATTACAGGAATAACGCATACTATTATGGGTATAGTCACAATTTGTATTATTTCCCGTTATTTTTTTATTCACTTATCTATTTCCACTAAAAATTCGGATACTGGTATGCTAGAAAGGAATATCAAACATTACACGCCCTCTTCTTGAGCAGTAAACAGGAATAACCGGATATATCTGTTATAGGATAGTTGACATTAGATAATGACCTCATTATAAATATTATAATTACTGCCGTATGAATGTTTATATTGTTATATCTGCTATATTAAGCCGAGCTATATTTAGAGATGCGGCTATACAAAAAATCTAACACTGCAAAGGATATTTATATTATACAATAATGAGGGCCTTGTTTCATGTTCCTAGGGATGTATATGGTAACTCTGAATTGTACCTTATAATTTACAAGCATTATAAAGTTGTTAAAAAGTGAACAGCAAATTAGGAGAATCCTATCTTCCAGTCCCTAAATTCACAAATGATGAATGTATGACCACAAAAAATAGTAGCAGCAGGAGTCATATCATTAAATTAGTATCTTCATAGATGTGGCATTAATGTGTGAAAAGGAAGAAGCTTCACATCATAGATTCGTACTAACAGTTTTATGAATTATGACCCGATGTATACAAGACTCTCTTAGTCCAGATGTATATGTATAACCAATTAATAAAATCCAAGATATGCATAGTATTATCTATAGAAGAACCCCCTATCTGTTATAATAAATTGCCCCGAAACTTATTCATGATGGCTATCTTAAGAAATTGAGGATACTGAAAATTCGTCTAAGAAGTGAATATGTTATTTATAAATATATCTGGGCGGCATATTAATATAACATATTCATTATCATAAGATGTGTGGAGAATATTTAATTTAATTAAGTACCAAACTAAGAATCCTGAGAATTCTAATTTAAATTAGCAGGAGGTATATCCACCGAATTAATATGTTAATCATTAGTGAATAAAGAAATCCAGGGAACGAAGCACTAATAATGTTTTACAGGATTTATTTATTGCTAAGGATATAAATAGGTAGATTCCACAAGTCCGAAAACAGCACAAATATTGTAAGATCTAAGTGACCACTACTCAATGCGCATTAAAAAGTGAGTATCGTTTCCATAAAAGGAAAGTCCCGATCCCTTTATTTATTAATCCTGAAGTCGATTAGGGATTTCTACTGACAGTATTTATTATTAAAATAGAAACTATCGATGAAATCATTTTCTAGTGTGATTGATAATTATTGTATATAGGAGGCCCCTCCCCCACTAAACAGGGCTATTTGTTTTAATAGCACCGGATTTAGTGTAACCCACAAAATCTGGTAAAAAGAATAGTTTGACATAAAAAATGTTGGAATAAGTCCGAGTAAGAATTACGGTAAGAATGAATATTAGTGATCTAGGTTATGGTATAAGTGACTGAACGATGCCTATAATGTATTAAAGCTGTAAGGGACGATTTCTATCAGTTTGATAAGTTCAGGCATTAGTGATATAATTATTAGGAGTAAACTACGAGGAAACAGCTGTATGATGACATATGATTTATAGACCAATTGATAATATAGGCAGGTGCATAGTACAGTTAGTATTAATGTTGTCTTCTAGTCTAACCTAGAAAGATGAGACCAAGTGACAGGTTATATTGGGATTCTTAACGCAGTTTCATAAAGGGTATATAGGTCCCGCAGACGTAATAAAATAGCGATCCCAGGGACCGCACCACGCCGAACCTTAGAACATGTGAATGAGGAAAGTTAAAGCCTCATGAAAGAATAAAGTAGGAGTGATCACACCAAACTGAAGACAACACATATCCTACAAACATAAGGGAATAAGGAGAAAGGGCCAGTACCCACAACAACTATGTCTACCTCGTGAGAGATATAGGGAACAGACAGGAGGCAAGGACCAATGAGAAAATATAAGATTCCACAGGGCAACTAAGACGAAGAGAACTTGCTAGCCACCCGTGAAAAGGAGAAGACTACAAATCTAGGATAATGGCAAGATACCCTAGGGGGGGAAGACAATAATGGCCGAGTAATAGAAGAGTGGAAGGAGACAAGCGATCACCCCTCATATGTGTTCTATGAAGCAACTGCAGAATAGAAGTTTAAAGGTGCCTAAAAGGAAGGATATCAATGAGATCCCCAAAAAGGCCAAACGAATGAGTGCAGGCGCCCCTAAGTAACAAGCAACTATTTATTAAGAGTCATAGACAGAATAGTAATAAGAAGTTATTATATGGAATAATGGTTAAGCCCGCCGAACCTATCAACAAGTCAGATGACCCAACAGAAGTCAATTACTATCCACTATCAACAGAAATATAAGGATGAAATAAATGAGGAAGGCAAGAGAAAGTAAGGCCTTAGTGCACTATTAAAAAACGGGAAAGGACAAAGGATTGGATAAGAACCTAAAGCATAAATACAAGGAGGGATAAAAAATTGAGCCCGCTAACAAGAACAGACGAACCGAATAATGGTGTCAAAGAGAGTAAACAAACACCCCAAGAGAGAAAATATTCTAGAATGGAAATAGGCCACAGGAAAAAATAAAAGAGGAGACACAGGCGACAACCAGAGAGGACTAAGCCGGATACCATCGACTAAAGAAGGAGATAAATTCGGGTAATCCGAGGATATCAAGGCACTAACCAACAGCCCAACAAAGAAAAACGCAAAGAAAAATCGAACACCTAAAGATTATGCCTGCCAGAAGACAAAAACTTACTCCCCCCGTAAAGAAGCCGGGACGCCCCAATTGAAACAGAGCAGTTGCCAAGAATCTGGAGTAAGAGCAGTACCAAAAAGCGAAACCAAACTAACAAACAGTAGGCACCGAGAAGGATCGATATGAGGATCACAACAACCAAGGTACAGATCGCCTCCAACCAACAACTATCCGAAGATGAAGACCAGGACGAATGAAAAAATTAACCAACCAAACACTCCCAAACCACAACCCGTGAAGGAAGATAACAACCGAACCCAATCCTAAGACTGTTGGAACAATGTAGTAGGAACGAACAACCCACTCTAAAAAGAATAAACTCCAGGGGGATACTGAGGAAACAAAACAACTCTCCATAATACAAAGCAACCAGAAGGAGTCTTCCATTAAATACTAATGGGCAAAGAATTCAAAAACTCCCAAATCTTGAGCGTAACAAGAACAAGCGAAGTACGAAAACTGCCAAAAACAGGCAACCAAACAAACCTGATGTAACAAGAGAGGAACAAGCCAAAGTGAAAAAAAACCAGAAACTAACTCCAGATACCCCTAGACTGAAGCAACTCCAAATAGATATAACAAGGTCGCTCAGCTCACGCAAAAGCAAAAATCAAATCCCAAAACAGTCAAATAAGACCAAAAGATGCTCCGTATCTCCCCAAGGGGTCACACCACAGGCCCACCCAAAAAGATCAAAACAGACAACCCACCAGGAGGCTCAGATCCGCAACCGAGCTCCAAAGAAAATGAAAGAAACAGATGACAAAAAAAAAGAATCTCACTGAGGATCCCCCCTGCAGCTGGCCCAATATCAGTCAATAACCACCCCTAAGAAGTGTAAAATGCTACCCCAGGATCTAGGGTAGAGCGAGAAATAGCCAATCAGTCCAACTCCCCCGAAACCCCAAAATTCCCCGAACTCACACCCGACCAGGACCAAACGACTCCCCTCAATAACAGCTCATCCAACATGAAGCAAGGAATAGGGGAAGCCGAACAAAAGCAAGCTTAAGCCACTCACAACCGCTGAAAAACCTTCCTTCATCTAATTCAGGACACCAGACGGGAACTTTCCCAACCCATGTCAGAATAGAGAAAATAATACAAGTGTCTAAATACCCGAACTCCGGACCGGTAATAAGGTGAAGACCGAACACTCCCTAAGACAACCGAGCAACGCAAAAAACAAAAGAAAGAATTGCAGCCCCATCCAATCGTCAAAGCTCCCCCTTCCCCCCCCCAAAGTCCCCAAAGGAGAAGAATTAGTGGAACTACCCAAGAGCAGCCCTAAACACCAATATATACGGCAAATACAGTAACGACTACCCAAAACAGCGGAGAGAAGCTAAGGAACTCTAAAACAGTCAGGCCCAAATTAGGGACAACAGTGAAACCAAAAGTACATCTGCACCCTACGAACTAGTCGAACAGGACAAAAATCCTAAGGAGAAAAAAATACCCAATAAGAGAAAACCCAGCCGCCGCAATCATAACTAACGAAAAAGAGGTCACACAAACCGATCCCACTAACCAAGGAATCCCAGACTATTAGGAAAGGAGAACTCTTCTACTCAACCCCGCATAGGCTGGCCCAACCCCAGAGCCAGACCATCACGCCAATACTGTAAAAAGAACAGAAATTATAAGAAGCCTCAAATCAAGGATTCCATCATCTTCTGGGACCTCAAAAATAAGAGACCCGCGGACCAGGTAACCCCAAAAGGGAAAGAAGGAGAGAACCAAGTACCAGTCTACAAGGGAAATTGCATTTTCCTGAAAAGATAAGAAGAAGGCCAGAAGCCACAACTATCACCGCCCAAATCTCGGCCACAGGGCAGGATACTCAAACCAGTCCCACCCCAAGGGGAACTTGCCTCACCAGAGAAGAAGTCCTGATGGCAAGAAGATAAGGAAGCGAATGATTAACCATCAGGACCGACTAAACTCAAGGGACAAGCACAAGCTTCAGGGGTACAGACCCCGAAAAAATCGGACAAAGAAAAGGCTCCGAAGCCAAAGAAAAGCAACCAGATAAAGGATACATAGGAAGGAAATAATAGAAAAAAAGGAAAACCCTAACAGGAGAGTCCAGGAACCCCGTAATCCAAGGAAGGATGAATTAGGAGTAACCAGGCCTTGCTATAAAAACTAAAACAAATGAAAAAATTCTCTCCGAGAACAAATCCATCAAGAAATAACTGCCGAACAGGATTAGGCACAATAGAAAATCAGAAGAAGCAAAGGAGGCCTATAAAAGGGAGCCAACTCAGGACTACGGTGAAGGCAAATACCAAAGAAGCATCAGGCAGGAACTGGGGTCAGCCTGAGGAGTATAGTGAAAATAGAGGAGGACAACGAAAGGAATTATCGACCAGGTTGGAATCAACTAAGAAGAAAATCAGGGTACGGAAAACACCTCACGAGACCCCCCAAAATCGGCAAAAGCTTAAGCAGCAGAATCTAGATCAAAGCTACTCAGGCTAAAGAACAAACTCAAGGGGGGAAGAAAGAGGATTCATCCCCAGGGGACTAAGAAAGGATAGCTCAAAGGAAAATATCTATGCACAAGTTGCATTCTCCTTAAAACTCGCGGCCCCAACCATATATCCCCAACGTCTCAACCAGCCCCAAGGAAGGATTTGAGGAAGAAGCATAGCAGCATGAAGGAAGCAGATTATCACATCAAGTCCCACCCCCCTTCCGAGTCCAGTTACTCAAGGGCGAGAATAAAGGAAGTCTAGCTAACCGCACAAGCTTAGGACAAGCAGCCCACAAAGGAAATCTCCCACCAGCATCCGACACCAAATCTAAGGAAGCCTATGGGGATAGAAAAGATAGCAAAGAACAAATGAGAAGAGGAATCCTCTCAAGGATGGATCAATCCTGAGCCCCGGTACGAAGAGAGAGATGTAGAAAGGGAACAATAGGGCGATTCAAAGGGGATTAATAGTTAGCCCCGGATCCCAACATATGGACAAGGATGCCCAGACGAACCCCCCCACGTGCAGACAACCAACAGGGCAGGACGGAAACAAGAGAAGGAGGAACATAAGGAAGAAATAACGAGAGCAATGAGGACAACCCAAAAGCAAGACGGTGCAGTCAAAGAAGAGACACACGCCTCAGTAATGAATCAAATAATAACAACATGATAACATCAATAAATAAGATCCGCTAACAAAGAAGCAGCAGGGTTAAAAACAGAACTCCCGGGTTCCTTCATCGTTAGAAAAAAGAAACAGAGTATAATAAAGCTAAAAGATCAACAAGGAACCAGATCCACCTCCACCAGCACGTCATCCCCCAGGGGAGCCCGGGAGAAATATAGTGAATGGGGATGATAGACACTTTGAATTAAATCCTGCACTAGGAAGGTTTCATTGAATGAAAGGGAAAGAGGACCAAATGAGATCGTCAGAATAACCAGATGCAGACAACACCTAGGAGAAAAGGCACTCAGACAAAGTCCCTAGGACACCTGTCTAACCAACAGGAGCAAGGAAAGAGTAGCAGGTGATGCAGGAACTCCCCTTTCCAATTCCTAGGAGGAAACAGATACATAAAGGTGGAGGTAAAATAGAAAGGGAAGTCAAGACAAATTGAACAGCCCCAGCAAGCCCAATTATCATCCCCAGTACAGGAAGTGAAGGGATATTCCAAGGAAGAGCACGAAACAAAAAGGGATCGGGGAAATCAGATCCACGAGGTAGGGAGGGCAGAAGAACAGAACAGATAAAGCAGGAGGTAGAGACAACAATCAGAAGTCTCACGAGGGCGAAATAGCGCTATAATAAGTCAACCAGAGCGGAGGAAGCAGCGGGCCTCTTAAGTTCTGCAAGAGAAGACGGGACTCCCGGAGAGACTAACGAAGTGAAGAATAACAGGCGGCTGCAGGGAGATGGCAAGTACAAGAGATGGCAGCCAGCACCCCAGAACCCTAGGAAAAAAATACTTCATATTGAGGGGGCGTCAGATAACAAAAGGAAAAGGAAGAAAAGGGAGGATGAGAAACAGCATAAAAGACGATCAATAGAAAAATGATCAGATCAGGCGTGGAGCACATCTCGGTTCCCTAACGAAAGGAAGAGGAGGGAATATAAATACGGCCCCGGAGTCATAACCTAAAGGAAGCGGAGGATGGTAAAAGAGGGGGAGGGATAAACAGAGGTTTGAAGCCCGGAACCTGAGGACCCCCAAACCTTAGGAGCTCACAGACAACAACAAAGGGACTAACAGGGAAAGGAAAGCAAGAGCAGATCAGGATCAACTCCGACCCCAGGGAACAGGAGGCCCTGCCAGACAGAAAGCGAAAGGGAATTCAGTAGTGGTAGATCTAGGCTCAAAGAAGATTATCACCCACCGCGTCCTTCAGGTAAGTGCTTGAGAGGTCATGCAACTGGCAGGAGAGAAGAATCAGGAGCGATAGGAAACCCAAGAAAAAGAGGGAAGACTAAAACGAGTTCAAAAGGAGCGGGAGGTTTGTCAGGGAGTCTAAGCCACAGCCAAAGCACATAGGGAGGAGGCAGACAGATTGGGGGGGGTCAGGAGAGAGTTTAGGGGAGCAGCAGAAGGCACAAGCAGATAGGAAGAGTGCCCAACGGGGAAAAGATAGAACAGACCAGCGGACAACCATTGATGAGAGAACCGGAGGCGGAGGTTTCAGGATAGGGGGCAGAAGGAAAAGTCCAACACCAAGGAGTGAGGGAGCGACAAGACACGACAAAGAAGAAAGGACAGGGGAGGGGGAGTTTTTTCTCTAAGTCCGAGGAAAAGACCGGACAGAGTTTAAAGGCACGAACAAAGCCCAAAAATCGAAGGGGGACACCAGGGTGCCGAGATAGAGCTACTATTTTGGAAGCTCAGTATCGTCGATCAGCCCAGGGGGAGATAATGGAGAAGCGCGGGAATGTCGGCCGTCGCATCATCTTCACGTCCCAGGGTCTCGGAGAGGAGGAAAAAGGAGGAGAGAGGGATAGATCCAGGCAATGCAGATAGACAGCAGAAGGCAGCTATGATAAGTAGAAAACGAGGGACTATAGTGAAGTACTGGTGCAAGGAAAAGGATTGTCCGGAAAGCAAACCTGAGCCGGACAGGAGCAGAATTCAGTTAAGAGGCAGGTGCCATTCTACGGAGAAGCAAGAAAGAGTCGAACAGGCCGTTCAAGCCAAGGAAAGTGGAGAAGAGGGAAGTATGCGTCAAGTTAGGGACAGACAAAAAGATACGAGAACAATCCGGCAATAGACTGTGACCCCACGCAACGAAGAAGAATAAGCAGAGGGCTGGGGCAGTACTGACTGAGGTGAAGTTCAGGGGAAAGAGGCAAGCTAAGAAGGAAAGGGGCTCTCCTGAACAGGGAGCCGCCGTCAAGCCAGGGTTCACAGATACCTGACGAAGAGGAAGGAGAGGTCCGAAGCAGAGTTAGGAGAACAGGGAGGACGCAAAGGGGGGACCCAAACGACAGGTGAACAAGTCCGGGGGGAGAAGAGATAACTAAAGGGGGAGCCGTTATCTAGCATGCAAATAGTCAGAGGGCACATGATATTGTATGACAATAAGCTAAGAGTAGGATTAGAGGCAGGGACTAATGGCAGGAGAAGGTCAGGTCATGCACCCGAGGCTGGGGCCCTTTTAGAGATAAGAGGCAACTGAGAGCATATCAGGCCTGATTACCAAGGCATCTGTAACAGCCCAAGGAATCAAGCAAAGGGGCATGATAAGGCCAATCACCACCCGAAGCCGCAATCATTAAACCAACTCACCCAGGGCTTAGAATCACTAAAATTTCAGATCAGCCATGACGACTCCGCCAAATCCCTGGAGGTTGGGATACTGGAGCTACTTGAACAACACAGCATATCAGTGGGCTAATTCAGCCCAACCCTGTGCGGGAGGGAATCACAGAGGGAAGTATTGTTTTAGGGAATTAGATCTGGGCCAGGGACACTCCCTGGCTACGTTAAGTCAGTGGATAAGTTCGGGGATCAAGAACGAGCCTTCCAACTGGACAGGGGAGGAGGAGGAAGCAGCCAAACAACAACTGGTGCCCAAAAAAGGAGGAGGAAGGGGAGGAGGAGACACCTGGGGTGATTTGATGAGTTGTATAATAGAGCAACTAGAGAGAAGAGCAAAAAGCTGTGAACACCAAAAGCAGACCACCAGATGTAGGGGATGGAATAAGGCAGCCTGGAAAGGCGTCTTAGGCGAAGTCGGTACTCCACAATCTTGGGAGCAGCATTCGTATGGGAAGAGAGTCTTAAGGGCATTATATTGTATAGCGGTGGGATTACAGCATAATTTGGCAGCAGGGGACCAGACGCAGTTGAACGAATATAGAGACAAGTGTGGAAAAGTGGCAGACATGCTGAGAGTGACCAAAGGGGAATGGAGCAAAGCCCTAACACGCGACATATTAAGGATCCCAGAAGATGCAAACAAGTGTTACAGTGGAAGGAAAACAGAAGGTTGTGGAGCCTTAAGTTTAGGATTAATACTGAATGTGGCTGAAGCATTAAAGGAGTGTTTAGGTGGCAATACTTCGTATGAAATAAGTGGCTGGTTGGACAAAGAAGTACTGACTCAAGGAGCTTCGGATAACTATGAATATGACCAGGATGGATCACTTAGCCTAAGCACAAACCACCAAGTTTCAAGAATAACAGTGACAAAGGAAAAGTTGGGGAAGTATTTATCAGGAACTGTAACTTCAGTGGTGAGTTCAAGGGACGGACTTTCCCTCAACGAAACTCCAGTCGTGCCAGAGGCCAAAAATGCAAAACAACCAGCAGTTTCTCCCGGAAAAGAAGACGTAGAGCAAGAGGGAAGAACGCAGCCGGAAAGAAAGGCTGAAAATTCAGCCACATCACCCTCAGCAGACTTATCTGAACCCGAAAAATCACAGGACCAACTCCAGAAGTCTCAAATCCAACAGCCCGGGGAAACTTCAAACAGTGCAAGTTCTCCTCAATTGGTTACACCAGGGGGAGAAAGTCATGGGCAGGAAACAGAAACGAGTCAAAATCCAAGCCGCGCCAAAGAGGAGAAACCTAAAGAGGAAAAGCACCAAGCAGAAATCACAGCCAAGGCAAATAAGGGCTCTGAGCAATCAATAACGAAAGATTCGACCCAAGAAGTGGAAAATACCAGTCATTATTCAACTGATCAATCAGGGAGTGGAATGATAGGTGGCATAGTAGGGGGCCTGGTGGTCTTGGTGCTTGGAGCCGTGGCGACATATGGAGGCTTGAGGATCTTTGGACGTCCAAAAGCGGGCGGTCGTAAAATGAGAAGACAGAAGGAGGTCGGTTATGGTGTGTTAGGGACGGATTAGATATTCCAGTGGCGGGGAGGTCTAAGTACAGCCTTCAAAGCAGGTTGCACTCGTTTAAGGTTCATTTCAGAGAAATTAGGAATAGTTTGAAATGGAAAACACTCCCGAAATTAAGAGCTGAAAAACCGCTCAAATAATCCAGCAGGCTAAGGAAATTCTGAGTAAGAGGACGCAGGACGGCAATTACAAGAAATCTTGCTCTCCAACAAGGGACCAGCTCCTTCACGTGAGTCTTTTAGCCCCCATACTTCACGCAGTCTTGATCAATAGGATGAGTTGGGATCAAAACGAGGAGGAGGATACGAACCCCTTCCCCCAACACCACGAATTGGTATGACATGCTTGATGCCAGCCACTGAAGATGCACTCAGCGGGCCAAACAGAGGACGGGCAACCGAGAACGTCAAGCAGAATTACAGAAGCCAGGCAGGGAGGAAGGGTGCGAATCTTCAGAAGCAGCTGAAGGATGGGGCCTGAGACGTTATTGGTTTGATAGTTCGGGGGTGGAGGGGCGTTTTAGTTTGGGAGATACCGCGAAAATTTTAAGGTGTGATGGGTGTCTGAGGCTTCAGGATTATTACGTGCGGGAATTAGAAATAGGAGTTTCTGATTTTTGAGTTAGGAGAAGCAATTCGAGGATTAAGCACCGGGGCTGAAAGTTAAGTGTTGATTCATAGGATTAAAGATTAGCGAGTTAGGAGAAAAGATAACCGCCCTGGAATCTCGGAGGAGCGTCAAGGCCTGGGGTTGAGGGGTTGATGCATTAGGAACTTTGGGTTTAGTTTTCGGGGGGAGGTTTAGGGTTTAGGTTTCGGCCTCAGGGTTTCGGGTTTAGTGTTTAGGGTTCAGGGGTCAGGGTTCTGTGTCAGGTGTCATGGGATTGGGTTTAGTTTTCGGTATAAGGATCAGGACTAGGATTCAGGGTTAATCGGTCAGGGCTGAGGATTTAGGTTTCTGGGTTTAGGAGTTCCGCTTTCTCTTTCCGTGTTTCGGGATTAGTTTCCGGTCTGATGTTTCTGGGTCCAGGGGTTAGCACTGAGGGTGGAGGTTTCTGGGATCAGGGGCTAGTGGTCATAGTTAGCTTTTAGCGTTCAGGGTTTAGTGTTAGGATTCAGGGGGTAGTTTTCAGGGTCCTGCGTTCAGGTTCCATGTTTATGGGTCCGTCTTAGGGTTCTTTTTTGGGGTTGGTGTTCACGGTCCAGGTTTTAGTCTTCATGGTTTAGTGATTAGGTTGTAGGCTTTAGGGTTAGGTTTCATGTTTGATTGATCAGGGTTTAGTGTAGATGATTTAGTTTTCTTTGAATCAGGCTTTGGTTTCAGGGCCTAGGACTTATGGTTTGGGGTCCTGGGTTTCTGCTTCAGGGTTTCGGGTTTTATGTTTTAGGGTTCCATTTATTAGTTCTAGTTGTATCATTATGGTTCAGGAGTCAGCGTTGAGGGTTTGGGGTTTAGCTTTAGGCTTTAGATTTCTAGGGGATCATGGGTTAGGGTTCAGGCTTCCGGTTCAGATTCTAGGGGTCAGGGTTCTCTGGGCACTGGTTAGGTTTTACTGGTTCCTTCTTTGGTGATTAGGGGTTAGTGTTCAGGGTCTATCGTTTAGTGTCCAGTGTTCAGGGGGGGTTGTTTAGGGTTTTGGGGCTAGTGTCTTGGGTTTAGAGTTAGTGTTCAGGGTCTATCGTTTAGTGTCCAGTGTTCAGGGGGGGTTGTTTAGGGTTTTGGGGCTAGTGTCTTGGGTTTAGAGTTAGTGTTCATTCTTTAGGGATTAGTGTTCATTGTCTGGGGGTGAGTGATTAGGTCCAGGGTTTAGTGTTTAGGTTTAGGGTTTATTTTTAGCGTTTATGTTTAGGGTTTAGAGGTTACTGTTCAGGGCTTATGCTCATGGTTCAGGATTTAGGTTTTTTTTTTAGTGTGTAGTTGTTACTGGATCATGGTTTAGGTTTAAGACTTAGGGATTAAGATCCATGGGTTAGGTTTTAGTGCTTAGGGGTTCGGGGTTACGGTTCATGATTTAGTGTTTGGGCTCCAGGTTTCAGCTTTAGGACTTAGGGGTTATGATTCATTCTCTAGAGTTAGGGGTCATGGTTTAGGATCTAGGGTTCATGGATTAGGGTCTAGGGGTTCCGTTTTATTCAGTTGACGGTCATGATCTAGGGGGTTGGGATTATAGCTTATGGTTTACGTTTAAGCGTTGGGGTTAGACTTATCTGTCACGTTTTACGCTTTGTTTCAAGGGTTACGGTTCAGGGGTTAGTGGCTAAGCTTCAGGGCTTATGGGTCAGGCCTCAGGGTTCAGGGTTCATTCCTTCATGCCTTAGGTTTAGGATTTGGGCTTTAGGGTGTCAGTTCCATGTTTTTACGGTCTAGCTCTTGGTGCTTAGTATTTAGTGTTGACCTTTCTGGAAGTAGCATCCACGGATTGTTGTTAGTCATTATGGTCCTGGTGTAGGGTTTATTCATTAGGGTCCAGGTTTTCGCTTTATGGTTCAGGGTTCAGGGTTCAAGGTTTAGGGTTTAGTCTTGTGGGTTTAGGAGCTCAGGGTCTACGATTCAGGGTTTAGTGTTTAGGGTTCAGGGGTTAGGTTCAGGGTTCATGGTCTATTGTTCAGGGTTTACGGTTGAGGGTTTAGTTCTAGGACCCAGGGTTCTGCGTTAGGTTTAGCGTTCATGGCTTATTGTTCAGTGTTTAGCGTTGAGGGTTTAGTTTTAGGATCCAGGCTTTTGCGTTAGGTTCAGGGTTCATGGTTTATTCTTCAGGGTCTACGGTTGAGGGTTTAGTTTTAGGATTCAGGGTTTTGTGCCAGGTTCAGTTTCTAGGGTCCAGGGTTCAGGGGTTTCAGGGATCTTGTTTTCAGGGTCCAGGGTTCAGGGGTTTCAGGGATCTTGTTTTCAGGGTCCAGGCCTCAGGGGTCCGGGTTCTGGGTTTCCGTTTAGGGTTCAGGCGGTAGGGTTCAGGATTTAGGGTTTAGGTTTTAAGGTTTAGGGTCCATGATTCAGATTCCTAGGTATTAGGGTTCAATGTTTCTAGTTTTGGATTGATGCCTGAGGTTAGGGTTGTATAGCTTACGATTTACGTCTCAGGGTTTAGGGGTTGTTCTTAGGTTCTACCTTTGGGGTTGAGTGCTCAGATTTGAGATTTCTGATTTTGCTTGTAGGTTATGGTTCTTGGTCCAAGCCTGAGGATTTAGATTTTGGCGTTGAGGTTTTAGGGATTATTCCTTAGTTTTTAGTCTTCTTGGGTGCTGCTCAAGATTGCTTTTGTACGTGTTACGGTGTATAGATTTATGACTTAGGCTTTAGGCTCTACGGTTCTCTGCTTACGATTCAGGAATTCAGAGCCTAATGGTGACTTTTCTGGGTTCGGGCTGCCGCGTTTAGGATTTACTCTTTGGTCTGTACGGTTAGGGGACTTGCTCTACGGTAAAACCCCTTTTGCTCAGCCCCTACGTGGATTCCTTATGACCTGTATTCTACGCCTGAGGCTTCAGTCTCTAGGCTGTACGGTTCAGCATTTAGGCTTTAGGTTCCCGAGTTCTGAGTTTCTCCCTTAATGACTGCGGTTTAGGTTGCACAATTTAGGTTTTACGTTTTACGGCACAGTTTTTACGTTTAGGTCTTAGGGGGCCGGGGTTATGGTTCACTGTTCAGTGTGTCGATTTCACATTTATTCCCAAGGTCCAGGGTCCGGGGTTCACGTTTTAGGTTTTACGTTTGATTTCTTATCGTTTATTCTTGAGGGGCCACATGGTAATGTTTAGGGTGCAGGGTTCATCGGCTGGGTTTAGGGTGTAGTGGTAGGGCTTTAGGAGTTTGGGCGGGATGGATTAGACTTCAGCTGGGAGGCTTTAGTGATGAGGCCTTCATGACTTAGAATTTAGGGTTTATTCTTTAGGTCTGATTTTTCTTCCTGTTTCCGGTGTTGGGTGCCTCCTTTTGGTTTTAGGGTTTCTTGCCCCAGTCATTACTTCCCTACTCTTAGGGACTTATGCCTAACTCCTAGGCTTTATATTCGGAGGGTCATCTTTCCTATTACGCCTCATGGTATACGTCTCAGGATGTATGGTCCAGATTCTCCGCTTGTTGAGTTCATGCTATACTGTTCTGGGTTTCGGTGCTGGCTATAATATTTTTCCTTTGAGGTTGCCCTCTTGATTCAGTTGATAGGTTTTAGTGTTACGCCTGTCCTTTTAGCCTCGGAATTTGGATGGTTCCTGCCTTCGACGAGGGCCTTGTAGTCCTACTTTTACAACTACGATCTTTTTAGGTTTTGAGTTGTATCCTGGAGGTTCCATGTATATTCTTGAGATCTTAATCTTCAGACTTTGGTAATTTGGAGCTGGCGTTAGCTAGTTGGTTTCTATTGTGTGTCTTTCCCTGTTGCCTATTAGAATCCTCTACGGTTTATTGCTAATGTTTCCAGGGTTTCATCTTGAGCTTTCAGGGTTGACGGAGTAGGACTCCACCTCAGAGTTGTTGAGTCAGTTCATATTTAAAGTTGCTGCCGTTTCGATCTTGCGATCTATTTTGTATTGTCCCTGGTTTATCCTCTGGCAATCTATGCGGGTCAGGCGTGTGTGGTGTTCTTTGTTACGGTTCAGTCCCTATTTTTGAAGCTGTAGGCTAAGGGTTAAGTGTCCTGGCTCTCAGGCTTGAATTTGTATGTTGGCATTCTTAGTTGATCTGTTTTCAGGGTTTATGCTTCAGCGGTCAGGGGGTATGGGTTCCTGCCTAATATTTAGGTGTTATCCTTTGAAGTTCAGGGTGTTGCTTTGACTGTGTCTTGTTTAGGGTCTACTGGTATAGCGCCTAGCTCCCATATTTCAATACTCTCATCTAAGTGTACTGCCAACCTGCATTGGTTATGGCTTATATCAGAGGTTTATATCTATGTCATGCCTTCTGATTCTTGCTTCACTACTTCCCCCGTATTCTCAGCCCCCTGGGTTGACCTCTGGGGGTTTACTTTTTGGATTCTATCATTTATCCCCTTGTAACTTGTCCCCTACGGACGATATGCTCATCGTAGTTCTCCCGGTTGGACGGTGAGGATTCATGATTTTCCAGGGGTCTGGTTAGTTGGGTGTAGCACTTAGGCGTTAGGGTGCAGGCTTAGATTTCATACCTTATGACCTAGCGTTGGGGATTTGCCTCTCCTGATCTAGACCTGTTTTCCAAGCATGGAGGTGGAGGGTTCTGGCTTGCTCTGCTTTGGTTCCACGGTGGCACTTATACTTTGTAATGTGGGGGACTCAAGGTTATTGGGAGGGCTCATCTGTAGTTTGTATGTCTTATGCTCATAGCTTTTCAGGTGATTCTCTGCTTCTAGGGACTAGTCCTAGT